CATGTGAGGGCTTTCAAAAGGAAAAATGTTCAAAATTTAATCAGAAGGGAAATAGGGGTATTGAACCCAAACAAGTTAAGAAATGTTGCATGCAATGGTGCATGAGATATAAATGTGGCTGAAGTTTATGAATTTATGTAGCCCATTCAGTGGGGTTTTAAGCCACGAAATTTCAGCCATCATTCACTGGATATGTTAAGTTTCTAAAGTATTTTTCCCTAGATTTATGGTTGGGTTTAAGGCCATTGACCATGCAAGGCAAAAATGCTGATCATAGAAAAAGAGCTGTTTGCGCAACCATTTTGTAAAAATTGCCAAAAATCGGATATTTAATATTTTACAGTGAGACCAGTTGGGTTTAAAAGTTAACTCATGGAACTATCCAATAAAAAAAGAATATCATGATTTGGTTAAGTAATGACCGAGATATGGTCGTTCAAAGCTGAATAAAGTAATCTGGCAGATTGCATTTTTGCTTTGAGTGCATCCTTAGGACATTTTGACAAGAACATCATGCATGCCTTTGATAAGGTCCGATTTCTAGCACATGCATGGAGTGAATGAGCATCCAAGATGTACTAGAAATGGTTTAAATGCTTTTGATCATGCAAGAACACAAAAGAAATGGAGAAGAAGATGTAATACTTGTTTTTGAAGTCACATGAACATATGTGCATCATTTTCACTCCTTGCATGGGTTTGATCCCGGATTTTCACCATTTCAAACACATGCATTGTGTTATGGTGAGAATCTACAAACCACAAGGAAAAAAATAAAGATTTCTAGCCATGGAAAGGCATAGAATCCGAAAAGAAGAGAAAACTAAGAAGAAGAGGAAGTAGAATCATGAAACTATGGGAGAAGATGTTGTTGTTTACCTTGGTTTTGATCTTAAGGGAAGTAAGAACACTTCAAGGTCTTCAAAATCTCGAAATTTGGCAGAGGAATGAGAGAAATTTCGTGGGTTAGAGAGAGAGAGGAAGAGAGTTTGTGGGTTAGGAGGGTGGAGTGTGAGAGAGTGAAGAGAGAAGAGGTAGAGTGAGGGTTTAAGTCTAATGATTGAGTTTTGGGAAGAGAGAGTGCATGGGGAGGGGAGAATGGCTGGCTCTATCATGCATTAGGCCTCCTCTCTCCTAATTTCAAATTTTATAAAATTCCCTCCAATATTTTTATAAAAACCCTAATTTTTATAAAAATATTTATTAAGCAATTCTTGATTTATTTGTAAAAAATCTTGTTTTTAACTAATAAATTATGATTATTGCATGATAATTTAATTTCTATTTCAATGATTATAATCCATAATTTGATTAATAAAAATTTGATATTAGAAAGTTTATAGCCAAATTTTATAAAGTTTTTAAGCTTTATGATTTATAAATTTGGATTTTTAGCTCTCTTAGGGTTTTTGGAATATTGTTTGATATTCATCATCATAATGAAGTATAATTAGAATATTTTAATTTATTTTTAGGGTTTTATACCCTTTTTCAATTATAACAAAGCTTGAAAGTTTCATTCAAATTATAGCATTGGCATTTCCTATTGTAGTTAAGCAACTTACTAGAATCGTAAGTGTCAAGTATATTAGCCCTAGGTCTTAGATGGATCCTAGTTTATGCAAGATTTTGACCTAATTTATACTACTAGGCCATGGCATGATGTGCATGAATGGTTATTATAAAGATGCATGAGTCCGAGAATGACCTGAATTGACAGTTGTCACATAAAGCCACTTAAGGGAGTTTTCGGTCCAAGTGGTATGTTTCTTGGAGTTTTCGGTTCTTGTGGTTTTCGGTCCATATGGTTTTCGGTCCAAATGGTTTTGACCGAAAACCCATGGTCTTTGATGCATAAGGTGATTTCCAAGGGCTTTCAACAATCAATGAAGTGTTCTAGATTCATGACTAAGCTTGAGGAAAGGTTTAAAGTCATATTGCACCCTTTATAAGGGTTTTCGGTCTAAGGAGATGTACTAGACCGAAAACACCTTTTGTTCTTGGATAAATGATGATTTCAAGGCCCTAAATCAAGAATTTCAACTAGATAACAAGTATAGGGAAGCAATACTTACGATTTATAGGCTAGTAGAGTTGATTTTTGGACCAAAACACTAGTATGTGTTCTTGGTGTTCTTGGTGTTCTTGAAGATCAAACCCAAAAGATGAAGTTAATGGATGAAATCGAAGGGTGTTACTAGTTAGGAAGATCTAATAACAAATCAAGGGGAAAGAAACACTTACATTTTCGAGAATTTGCAAGAAGATCTTATGATACTTGAGAGAGAATGGAAGTTTTCTTGACTTGGAATTTAGAATAATGAATAAAATGAGAAATACTCATGCTTATGGGATGAGTTTTCGGTCCACATGAGTTTTGACCGAAAACTCATATGTGGTGGCCGAAAACTCCACATGAAGGGTTTATAACTTGATTTTTATACTTATAACTCAAGCAAACACTTCCTAACACTCAATCCTTGAATGTACAATGCTTAGAACACCCAAATAGACTCCAAACTATGCCAAAAGATAGCAAAATGGATCTAAAACCAAAAAAATTTCGGGTTGTCACAAATTAACACCTTCTCAAATGTGCCTACCTAATAAATGGACTTCGGATCACCTCCAGAGTCGGTTATTTATTGGGTTTGTAAAGCAATCTCACCCACCAAAGCATTTTGTATTTCACGAAGATTGTCAATATACTTCAAAACTAACACATACAAAAAAAAAACAACAATATATTTCATTTTTAAGTATAAAAACTTACATATTGGTCTTTGACTAACGGGTCAACGAATTCCCCTTGTTTATTGACATGCCAGTGAAATGTTTCAAGTCTATTCAAATTCTGTTTACATTACAAAATATTTTATACTAGAATAAACATTACAAAATATGGTATAACTGAATGCATTACTATAACTTACATTCTTAAAACAAACACTAATGAGATAAAGTAATCAAAAAGCAGTCCCAAAACATGGACAACCCGAAATTAATTTCTAAATCAATTTTGGGCAGGTATTTTTATTTGATGATTTAAAAGGAAAAGAATTAAACTTAAAAACCTATTTTTTTTTATTATAGCATTGTACTTTAAATAATTAAGTTAATAAATTATGAAAACTGTAGTATATATTTCTTATTTATAGCATCTCATTTTTTCATAATTTTATTATTTATAACATTTTACTTTTATTTTTATTGTTCTATTATGGCATTGTACTTTTTCATATATATTTTTTATTTATAGCATTTTTCTTATGTTATAACGTTTTACTATAAATAACATTGTAATTTACATATTATGGAGTTTTAAGGACTAACCTAATTAAGGCATAACATTTTACATACAAATACACATATAAACATATACAAAATACAACTCTTACACATATAAACCAAATACATATATACACATACCACATAGCAAATATACATAGACCAATTGCACACATATAAATACACATACACATATACACATATACATACTTTTGATTACCCACATATAAAATGCATCACGTTAATTCATTTTCTAGTGTTTATGCTAATTCAAGTCGTTGATTATTAAGTTAGTTATCTTGTTTTTGTCATAATAACAATGATGTTGATATCTTATGATTATGGCAATAAACTAGTTTTTATTTTTATTAAATTACTTACAAATATACAAATTTCATTATTTAAGAATCAATTTGTGAAATGTTCATGATCCATTTAATTTAACTTATATGTTGCATGTGTGCATGTACACCGACAACAAATTAGGAGGGATTTCCCCAACAAGCATCCAACCCCATTCCTAGAAAATAGAAAAGAAATCACAAAAATTTAATTTATAATCTGTCCATTCTCGAGAAACACCTCACTTTTGATTATACATACTTTTGATTAGACAAAATTAAAATACAATCAAACACTTTTTCTTGAAACACATTTCAAATGCACATATATCAAATTGCTTATACTAAACACGCACGCGCGCGCATATATATATATATATATATATATATATATATATATATATATATATATATATATTATATATATATATATATATATATATAAAAGAAATGACTCACAAGCCCAACAAAGTTTTCAAACCGTTCAAAAAACATCAATCATGTTTTGTTTGTTCAAGAAATCCCAACGAACTTAACATTTTGTCTAAAAAAGTCCAACGAAGTTTCCAAACCGTTTAAAAAACTCAATCATGTTTTGTCTGTTAAAAAAGTTAAGTTCTTTGGGTTTTTTTGAACACACAAAACATGATTGAGGTTTTTTGAATGGTTTGGAAACTTCATAGGTCTTACAAATCATTTTTCCGATATGGTAATAAGCCACGTCATCTGTTTCTCTTCTTTGACTTCTACAGAATTGAACAAAAATGTAACTTCGTTGGGCTTTTTTAAACAAAATGTTAAGTTCGTTGGGTTTTTTGAACAGACAAAACATAATTGGGGTTTTTTGAACGGTTTAGAAACTTCGTTGGGCTCCTAAGTCATTTTCTCATATATATATATATATATATATATATATATATATATATATATCATTTACTTGATTATACAAAATACACATACAAACATATATCAAATTCATACATACACATACACAGTAAACTAAGGAACATGTGGTTATGGAGCTGAAAATGGTGGAGATGAGGTGGTGATTGTTGTCGGATATAAGTGACACTGTGGCGGTGTTGTGGTGGTTGTGATAGCCACAGATTGGAGGAATATCCTTAAAAGCACTAAAATCAGCAAAATTAGAAAAGATAGAGAAGAAAGAAAAAGAGAAAGAGAAAAGACAGTGGAAATGAGAATGCAAAACATACCTTCGCCAATGGAGAAGTTCGTCAGAAAATCGGAAGTGGCGGTGCTGCGGTGGTTGTGATAGCCGCAAAATGGAGGAATGTCCTTAAAACCACCAAAACCAACAACATTAGAAATGAAAGAAGAGAAACAAAAAGAGAAAGAGAAAAGATGGTAAAAATGAGAAAGGAAAACATACCTTCGTCGGTGGAGAAGTTTGCCGAAGAATCAGATTGTCGCCGATGGAGCAGCTCGTACGCCGGTGAGGAGTTGGAAATCACTCTGGCAGAAGAAGTGTGGTGCGCCGGTGGTTACAAGTCGATGGAAAATATGCAGGAGGATAAGTTCGCTAGAAAGTCACTGCAATTGAAGTCGGAAAAACGAGAGAAATGGAGTGGGAGGTATCAGTTTTGCGACCTGTTGGGGAACAAAAGGGGGAACCCTTAAGCGACGACGCCTTTTGAACCTTTAGCGGTGACGTGTTGCTGGGAAATATATGTTCCCTTTTTTCGTTAGTTTTAGCAGCGACTTCGTCGTCGCAAAAGGGGTTGTCGCTATTACTATGAACAGTAACTAACCCCATCCGTTGGATCAGGATGCAATCGTAGGGCCAAGAATTGATCTAGAGACATTCACACGGATCACCGATCACACCCTTCAGTGACCACAACATTAGCGACGACCAAAACACATATTATCTAATGTCGTCCCTAAAACTATGTGCCGTCACAAATGGTGTCATCCCTAAAACTTATATTTCTTGTTGTGTGAGATAAGGATGAGCTAGCAATAGCATAGACCGGTCCCGACCAATTTTCAATGAACCAGTTCTGGACCCGGAGGTTCTTAGAATGGTTCATGAACCACATGGAACCGGTTCTCGTATGGTACCCGGGGTCTAATGTTTTTTAAAGTTTATCACATATAACCAATCACAAATAAGGGTATGCAAACCAATCCATAAACCTGCTTGAACGTGTGTGTGTGTGTGTGTGTATATATATATATATATATATATATATATAATATATATATATATCCCACATCGTCTGTTTTTTGTTTTCTGTAACTTAAATCATCCGTATAACTTAAAGGAGGTAACAAAGAAACAAGTATTAAATCCAGATAGCCCAAATATGAATATCAGTGGGAATGTTGTAAATCGTGCTTTAAAGGTTACATAACCAGATAACCTCAAATCCTGAATTCCTTCTTAATTCAATTAATGTCCCTCTCGGCTCACCATTAATATCTACCGCTTCTAGTTGGTCAAGGTAATTGGTATGGACTCGTGGTTGTATTGTTAATCGCCTTTTTAGACTTTTGTTTTTCTAACTTATTCAAATTCTTTATGTGAAAATATGGTTGTGTAATTGTTTGTTTTTAGACTTTTATTATAATCAATCTTCTTCTTGTTGTTGTTGTTGTTATTGCATGTTGTTATTTTGGTTGGCAAACTAAAATATTTTGGTTCGTTTGGTATATTTGTTACACTCTGAAATCCTATTTCACTATAAAGTTGAAGTTCGTTTTAAATGCAAAGCAATAATGGGAGGTGAAGCAACAAACAAGGAATTGGCTGGATCTTCCACATGATGTAATGGCTAATATTCTATACAGAGTGGGTGTTTATGACATACCTGAGAATGTCCAGAAAGTTTGCACTACTTGGCATAAAATCTGCAAGGACTGTGCCATGTGGAGGATCATTAATATGGAGAATATTTTTTAATATAGAAATAGAAATGGAAGGTCTGTGATGCAGGAGATGTGTAAGCATGCTGTTGATCGAAGCCAAAGCCAATTAGTTGATATCACCATTTGTGGTTTTGTCAGCGAGGAGCTTCTTGAGTATATTGCTAACAGGTATGTATGAGTATGACTTTATTACTCATATTTTAACTTAATTCGTATCTTTTTATGCTAGCACACTTGGGAACCACTGGATGATGTTGGTTTGTTCTTTCTAACAGATCAAGTCAGCTTAGACGCCTTGAATTCACAGGTGGAGACATTTGTAAAAAGTGGGTTGCTTCTTTGAAGAAATTTCCATTATTGGAGGAACTTAGGTGTTGTTTGTTTTTTGGAAAAAAACCTCTTCAGACCTCTTATTGCTGCACGGCGCAGCACACGCGCAACACTTTTCATCTCGCAGATGTTTGTTTTTCAGAAGTCGTCGGATTAAAAAACCTTTGCGCGTGCTCTTCTTGGCGCAGCACTTGTTTTGCCTCTTCCTACCTCTTCCAACCTCTTCTTCTTCTTTTTTTCTTGATAAAATATTGATTATATATTGTTGAAATCTTATTTCACATTTTTTTTTCGTTTTTTTTTTGTTTATTCTTGTTGAATTTTTTTTTATATTGAATAAGAATAATTTGTTGATGAAATATCATTATTTTATGCTAAAAGATCTTTATTTTTTATTAAAATATCATTATTTTTTGCTGAAATATCATAAATTATTGCCGAAATGTCATACATTATTAAATTTTCGGTATTAAAAAACTATATTCGGAGTATAAAATCAGTTTATTTTAATTTTTTAATATCTGCATCAGTATGCAGATGTTAAAAAAACAAACACGCTTCTTATTACAGTCTGCAGTCGTTTGGTCCACCTCTTCTACTGCAGAGGGCTGCAGAGGTGGTCCGCAGACTTTATGGATTTTAGCTTCAAAAAAACAAACAACACCTTAGTCTCTACCTAACTGTGACATCCCCATTTTTACGGCCAGAAAAGACCGATTTTGTTTATGCTTGTTTGAAAATCATAGTAACATTTTAAATAAAAGTGTTGCGGAATTTGTCCCAAAACAAAATATGATAAAGATTTATCAAAAGCATTTCCAAAGAAATGTATTTCATTAAAAGACTCGGGATGTCATGTTCGATACAGATCAAAAGCATAAACAGTACAATATAAGCTTTACTACATTATTTCATATATACACGCCTATATCTGTAATCCCTCATCCAAAACATCGCATCTATGCTCGAGAGCCACTACCTGTAATACATGAAACTGAGTGGGTCAGGCTTGGGAGCCTGGTGAGCACATAGGGTTTTCAACCCACAATAAATAAGTTTATTAATTTCATCAATCAACAATAACCCGATTACCCGTTCCCGTTATCCTCACTTTACGTCCCTAAACACCTATCATAAGGGACCTAGCCTAAGGATCATCATCGGGATGGACACTACTGCTAAGGGGGGCCCTCAGCAATAAATGTCCTAAAGGCAACCATGAGGGGGATGGAGTACACCGGTGAACACATCGTTCACAAACACCTACAGGTTGCGAGTCTGCTAGCGTTCCACTGGACTGTCTAGAAGAGTCTGTGGTCGTCATTCATACTCTGCTAGATGACAGAATCAACAACAACAACATCGAGGCCTCTCATCATTTTATCACACATCGTCTATTACATTTACCCATGTTTTACCCCAACATTTTGTAGATATAATAACATTACTATAATTATTTAAAAGCTATATTAAAAGCTATATTAAAAATTTCATAGGCGTAGCTCACTTACAACGGATTGTAAAGAAAACCGGGCTTTGCTTGGAGCAGCGTTTCCGAACCGAAAGATCCTTTTTCTCAGGACTCCGGGAGCCTCGGGGCTTCCTTCGGGTGCTAGGGGGTTCCCTAGGGTTTAGGAGGGTTAAAACCCTTAGAGTGAGAAAGTAGTTTAGAGAGAGAAGGAGAATGGTGTGAAAAATCCGAGAAATCTCGCAGCTATTTATAGGCTGCTGGCTTCGGACCTACGCTGCGCGTTCAGCAGGTTACACGGGGCGTAACTTCGGATAGGGGTGCCAGCTCGCATACAGCTGGCTCGCACTCGGACTCGGAAGAGATAAGGCTAAAGGTACGCTGGGCGTACCCAACTTCGGACGCGGGGCGTAAGCGAGGGGTGACGTGTCCTTCATCCGAAGCGAGACCGTGGGCCGCAAGCGACGGTTGTGATCTTGCCACGTCATCAATCGAGCAACAGGCTTTGCAAATTCGAGTCTAAACTTTAAAAATTCGTATCTTTCACATACGAGCTCCATTTTCGATGTTCTTTATATCCACGCGTAGGCGGGAACGTAATCTACAACTTTCGTTTAGACTCCATCGGCTAATTTTGACTTTATTTTAAATTTATATTTTTAACAGGCCGGGACAGGATTGGTCCGTTAAAAATTCATAACTTCTTCATCCGACGTCCGTTTTCGTCTGTCTTTTTATCGTTACGCTACTATTAACGAGATCTTCGGTTCTCGTTTAGGTTGTGTTGGCTAAATACCACTTGATCTAATATTCGAAATTTGGGTTGTACACTGCTAAGTCGAAACTTCGAAAAATCATAACGTCTTCATACGAAGTCAGATTTGGGCGTTCTTTTTATGGACGCTCTCGGTTTAACGTATTCTACGACTTTTGTTTAGATTGCTAAGGCTAAAACTCGCTCTATCGTAAATTCACTATTTACGCTTCCCGGTATCGTGTCGGTTCCGTCGTGAAACTTCAACGGGTCATAACTTCTTCGTTATAACTCGGATTTCGGTGTTCTTTATATCTACGGAATCCTTGTTTCGACCACTATCACTTTATGTAAAGATATCGGGTTTATCTCACACTTTAATTTTGACGCTTATTTTTATTCCTTATTTATTATACATTTATAAATAAATAATAAGCATATAAATTCACATAATTCACATAATACTCAAATATTTCATCTTTATTACATCAAAAAGAGTTACAATAGTTGACCTAGACTATTACATCGTCTAAAAATGCTTAGCCCCGAGACTTTAAGCAAAACCGAATCCTCAACTTCGAAGGTCATCGGTTGTCTTTTCTTGTCCGCATACCTCTTCTAACGATCCTGAGCTGCTAACATTCTTTCCCTAATCACCTTCAACTTTTCAGCAGTCTCATGGACTATCTTGGGGCCCATAAACTACTTCTCTCCAGCCTCAAGCCAACAAGACGGCGTACGACACTTCTGTCTGTACAAGGCTTGATAGGGTGCCATCTTGATTCTCGAGTGGAAACTATTGTTGTAGGAAAACTCTACCAAAGGTAAGTGCTCATCCCAGTTACCTTGGAACTCAAGGGTACATGCTCTCAGCATATCTTCAAGCGTTTGAATCGTTCTTTCGCTCTGACCATCAGTCTGCGGATGGTAAGCTGTACTCAGACACAACTTCGTACCCAGTTCCTCTTGTAGACTCCTCCAAAATCGTGACGTGAAACGACTATCACGATCGGATAGAATCGTTAGAGGAACACCGTGAAGTCTCACAATTTCCTTCACGTAAGCATTTGCAAGCTTATCCATAGACCACCTTTCGTTGGCAGCTATGAAGTGTGCACTCTTTGTGAAACGATCCACGACTACCCAAATCATGTCGTGACCGTTCTTCATCCTGGGTAGTTTAGTCACAAAATCCATGGTGATGTCTTCCCATTTACCCTTGGGTATAGGTAAAGGTTCTAAACTCCCATACGGTTTCTGATGTTGTGCCTTAACTCTTGCACATGTCACACACTCGGCCACATACTTCGCAACATCGAGCTTCATCGTCGGCCACCAGTAGTAGGGTTTTAGGTCCCTATACATTTTAGTGCTACCGGAATGAATCGAGTACATGGTCTTGTGAGCTTCTTCCATCAGATGATCTCTTATTCCTCCCGTCTTAGGTACCCAAATCCGATCTTGGAATACCTTCAGTCCTTGACGGTTTGTACCAAATACCAACGTCTTTCCCAAACGTTCTTCTTTTCGGTCATTCTTTTCTGAAGCTTCTTCTTGAGCTTTCTTGATACTTTCCACAATCATCGAGACGACTTCAATTCTCAATGATCTTGGCCTTTTCCTTTCAATATTGACTTTTCGACTGAGAGCGTCAGTGACAACATTTGCTTTACCAGGGTGGTAAAGTATCTCACAGTCGTAGTCCTTGAGTAATTCCAGCCAACGTCGTTGCCTCATATTCAACTCCTTCTGATTAAAGAGATACTGGAGACTCTTATGATCAGTGAAAAGTTTGCACTTCGTGCCATAGAGGTAATGCCTCCATATCTTCAAGGCAAATACTACCCCTGCCAACTCCAAATCATGAGTGGGGTAGTTCTTTTCATGCTCTTTCAATTGTCGAGAGGCATATGCTATCACCTTTTCTCTTTGGGTCAGAACACAACCCAACCCGACTCCAGATGCGTCACTGTAGACTGTGAAGTCTTCGACTCCATCGGGTAGAGAAAGAATCGGTGCTTCACATAACTTCTTCTTTAGCTTCTCGAATGCCTCATCGTGTTTCTCACTCCATGAATATGTAGCTCCTTTGTGGGTCAACGCTCTCAATGGAGCAGCTATCGAAGAAAAGCCTTGGATAAATCGTCGGTAATATCCAGCTAATCCAAGAAAGCTTCGAATCTCTGTGGGACTCTTTGGATGTTCCCACTTCATTACAGCTTCGATTTTTGCTGGGTCAACCATTATTCCCTCCTGGTTAACCACATGACCCAAGAATTGGACTTCTCGGATCCAAAAATCACACTTGGAGAACTTAGCGTAAAGCTTCTCCTTCTTTAACACTTCCAACACTTCTCGTAGATGCTTGCCATGCTCCTCCTGGCTTCTTGAGTAAATCAGAATGTCGTCGATGAACACTATCACGGATTTATCGAGGAATTGTTTACAAACCCTGTTCATCAAATCCATGAATGTTGCTGGAGTATTGGTTAGTCCAAACGACATAACCAAGAACTCATAGTGTCCATATCTTGTTCTGAATGCAGTCTTCTCGATATCCTACTCTCTCACTTTCAGCTGATGATATCCTGACCTAAGATCGATCTTTAAGAAATAGCTCGAACCTTGCAGCTGGTCGAATAGGTCATCAATCCTCGACAATGGATACTTGTTCTTCACCGTTGCCTTGTTCAGCTCTCGGTAGTCTATATACATTCTCA